TGTGTCCACAATTTTGTACACACACACACACACACACACACACAGTAGAAGCCTTTGGGAAAAATACATTAAGCCCATCTTCTCCTCTGCCAACAAATGTAGTTACTTCAAATGAGGAGTAGCTAGTAAGTAATTGTTTGGAGAGAAGTCTTTAAAACTGAACTCCTCTAACAATTGTATCATTACCATCAAATCTATTAGATATATTCTTTTTTACAACTGCAAACCTAACTTTATTCACAGAAATTTTTATTAAATAACTTTGTATCCCCACAGTTCAATATCTATTGTGAAATAATTCACTAGTTCTGAGCAAAAATCAAACAAAGAAAACATTGAAATGAATGTCTGGTCTAATTTAAATTAAAATGAAAAGAACCAATGTGAGAAGAGAATATTATAACTAAAATGCCAACAGATGAAATGCAGACAACATAAACTCTGGAGTTTACAAACAGCTTTTGTGTAATGAAAATGTCAACTTTTATTTAGACTCAAAGACCAAGTTAGCAGACAACAAAGAAGACAATTGATATCCTGGGGCAAAAACAAAAAACAACAACCCAAACTTATTTTTACTTAATCAAATTCTATTACGTGAGGTAAAAGGTAAGACCAGGGATTAAAAGATGCCTTATGAACAGGTCTTGTGGAGGACATATTCTCATCCTCCATCCTGCACATAGCTGAAGTCTATACAGTAGAACATCAGAGTAACAAACATTTCAGGAATGGAGGTTGCTAATAACTGAAATGTTCTTAACTCTGAAAGGTTATGATTGTTCTTTCAAAAGTTTACAACTGAACACTGAGTTAATACAGCTTTGAAACTTTGAAACTCAGAGTGCAAAAGTGAAACCACTGTTGTGTGTTCACACTGTCAGCTGCCAGCACAGCAGTGTAAATACACTTGTGGGACTTGCAGCTTGCATTTGGAGCAGTGCATCTGGGCCACTCACAAAGCACCTCTTCCACTGCTGAGGCTTGTGGGAAGGCAGAGGAGGCAGTAATGGGGCATTCTGGGTCCTGTCAAATACCCTGTGATGCATTGTTTCACATCCCAGCAACCTCTGTGCTTCCCTCTATATCTGGTGCCATCTTTCAATGGCATTTGTTTTGCATGTTCTGCTTTCTTGATCTGTTTAACTAAAGCTCTTTATTTAGTTCCTGTACGCTGCGATAATTTAATACCCAACCTTGAAAAATTTACTTCCATGGCAAGTAGGAAATTCTCCCTAGCAAACATGTGCATGAAGGCAGCATAAGCTAAGTTTCCAGCTTCTACATAATTTCTGCTTTCATTGACAGTGTTCTTCTTATTGCAAAGAAACTTCCAAATATTAACTGTTGTGCTGTCAGACTGAAGAGCACTTTAATGGTGCAGCCACCACTTACTCCTTTAGTTTCCTAGCAAGTAGCTCTAGGATGTCAAATTTATCAAACATTAGTCAGATTCATGGAAGATAAATTGTTGCTCCTCTCTTCCACATTCGAAAGAAAAGGGAAATGCAGCCAGGTATAAGCCCAACCCACATATCCTCCCCTTTCTACCAGTTGAGGATGAACCTTGCTTCCCCGGAACTCTCTGGTGAATTGCATTTCCCCTCCCTTCCTTCATACTAATGACACGCTCTTGTCATATTGGCCTCTGGCTAGTACATTTCTGAGTTCACTCTCATCTTCTTACAATAGTAAAAGAATAAATTACATCAATTACAGTAGTTTCACACTAAACTGCATCTTCCAGTCAAATAATGCCTTACCAATCATAGTAACAGAAGTCAGACAAATAAAAACAGTTTAAGTTTAGCTACACCCCATATGACGTGCCCAAGTAGTAAAAGCAAACATGAATATACAGAAAGTGATTCTGGATGTGTAGAGCAGCGCTGAGTTTTGTTCAACTGTTGCCAAGTTACATGGTGATGACTTCAGAGAACTTCTGCACGGATGTCATTTTGCTTTAGCTTGCACAACTGTTATATAAATTATCTGTGTAATCTGTACAAAAGTAAAATCCTTCAAAGTCTTAAACACAGAAGTGAACTCTTTTCAGTGAGAGGTAAGTAATAGCCCTCTGCACATTTTCAGCATCCTAGTACAGAATGCATGGCTCTATAAAATGATGCCCACCCACCAGAAAATGGGGAATAGTATTTCAAAGGAAATGCTATCATTAACTGCTTGTTTAACATGGAATTATATTTTCAGAATGATACAGGAAGGAATTTGATCCACATGCTATTAACATTGCAATACATAATTTAATTGCTCTTTGACCATTTTGTTCAAAGTCTAAATTTAAACCAACTAGAAAATTATACAATTGAGACCTGGGCAATTAAAATCACAATTTTTATTTATAAATTTTCATTTTTTTACATTCCTTCTATTTTATTTTAAAATGGTAAGGTGAATGTTTTGTATTTATCTACTTCTCTAATAACATTTTAGTAAAATTTCAGCTACTACACTGAATTTTTTCTGCTATGAAATTACACATTTTGAAAATCTCACCTTCATGTCTAAATGCTAGTTTAAACAAATTTGGCCTGTGTTTATAACATCATTAACACTGAAGCAATTTTATTTTGGAATGACAAACATTTTATGATATTTAAAAAAAAAAATAAACAAAAAGACACAGTGCTACCCACTCATGCTTATTTTTAAAAACAGAGTAGTTCCACTGAAGTTAACTGAGAGTACAGCTACATAACAGCTTAAGCTTTTGCAGGATCAGAATCACTAGTTTGTCTATAGCAATTCTGTAAAATCCAAACAGGACGCCCTACAGACAGTGGCATTTTAAACACCATTTCAAAATTTAGGATATATTATTTTATCCTAGTTTTGCAAAGCCTACCTGATTTAGGCTGATATTTGTAACCCCAAGCACAACAAGCTTAGTTAAGGGTACTTACTCAATGTGTCAAAACAATTTACCTTTTCGTACAGATCTGTCAAGCACTTAACATCCTCTTCTCCCTCTATTGCATGCCCTTTGGTGCTTGAAAGCAACAAGTGATTTTAAACTAGCAGTTCTGCTAAACATTTGGGAAAAAAGAAAAAAAAAAAGACTGCAGCATCAACTAGGTTTCTTAGTATCAGAGGGGTAGCCATGTTAGTCTGAATCTGCAAAAGCGACGAGGAGTCCTGTGGCACCTTATAGACTGAAGATGTGGGTCTTTGCCCACGAAAGCTTATGCTCCTACACTTCAGTTAGTCTATAAGGTGCCACAGGACCTCTCGTCGCTTTTGTAGGTTTCTTAGGAAAGTGGCAAAAAAGTATCTTTTCAAGAAGTAATTAAATGACAAATTGTGAAAAGTTTGTGGAAGTTTGTATCACATATCCCAGTATCATCTCAGACCTTAACTATTAAAAGCATACATACATTTTTACTGGATAAAGTAGTTTTAGCCACAGTAGCTTCATTTCTCCAAATACTGCATTTCAGTCCTAGCAATTTGCCCTATTGCTTTTAAATAAATATTCTGTGCAAGAAAATTGGACAAAAGTGTCAAAGTTAAAGGAAATTTGCTCACGGGAATGTTAAAATCAAAGGAAAATTTTCAGTGAAGTTTTTGTTTGTTTACCTCAGAGCTTCCCAAGGGAGTGGCCGGGGGAGTGCGGGGGGAGCAACTATACCGATAACTCACAGCTAACTTTCTAGTGGATAGCTGTTGCTCTGACTTAAAGTAACTCCTCTTTCTTTCCTAAAATGGAAGTTGCTCTAACGCTCTGACTGTGCCAAAATTCCCAGTGGCATTCAAGAAAAGTCCTCCCTCCCACGTGCACACTAATGAAAACGCACCAAAACAGAATATGGCAGGTAGAGACACTATATAAACGGAGAGATTTTAAAAAACATGTTCATGCTATGCAAGTAAGATCATTAAACTTAGCAGCTGTGTGATTTTTTTTTTAAGGGCAACATCATCAGCTATGTAAGCGACCTCGGGTATCTAAGATTCAACTGGCGATCACTGTGCAGATCTGGTGGGAGAACGACGTGCATTTCAGGCATGCCACCTCTTCTGAAAGAAGTCAGCCAGATCCACCGCGCTGCTTTGGGTGGGGCAGGAAGGCAGCTGAGGATTTCCCAGCTTTAAATGTACGTAGCATTCTCTCCCTCCTCTCCCCGCCCGCAGCTAGGAGCTCAGAGAGAGGCAACTCCCAGATCCGTTCAGTTCTCCGAAACCGGACAACGAGCAGCCCAATGGGTCCAATATAATATTCCTCGCTTATTTCCAGGTCCCAGGCCTGTGGCAAATCCTCCCCCTCTGCCTCACGCTCAGTGCTATAGTTAAGGCTTCTTCCCCGCAATCGCTGCAAATCCAGTTTCCCGGGGGACTGAATGCAACCGCAAAAAAACAAACAACAAAAAAAAGGAGCCGCCAAATAGATGAGTCAAGTCCTTCCTGACTGCACAAAAAATCAAGTTTTTTCCCCCACCCGGTTGCCTCCTACGAGTGGCTGTCGCTGGGGGAGCAGAGGCAGAGCCTCAGGCTAGTCCCATCCAGGGAGGCGGTGGGAGGTGGCGGGCTAGCCCTGGACACCCCCAGGGAGCCCCAACGAAACCCCACAGCGCCACTTGGCGCCCCCGCCTCCCGCTCTTTGTTCGTTCTTGCCCGGCGGCGGTGCCTGGAAGCCCAGATAGGGGTGACCTGCCTGCGCCTCGCCCCGTCTGCGTTACAACGCCGCCCCGAGAACCACACAGCCCTGCCGATCTGCCCCCTGGCCCTCCCCTCCGCCCAGGAGACTCGCCTTTGTTCCGTCGCCGCTGGGAGCGGGCTACTCCTTCCAGCACCCAAGCCCAGGCGGCGAGGGAGAGGGAAGGATGGGGAGGGGGGTGCAATCCCCCCCTCCGCCCTCCCTCCTGGCAGGGAGAGAGAGAGCTCCCCTCCCTCTCCTCCCCTCCCCACACGCGCACACACACACAAAGGGACATTTGCAGAGAAGCCGCCTTCTTCCCCCAGTGCCAGCGCCACCTTCTTACCTCTCACGTGGAGCAGGAGAAAAGCCAGAGAGAGCAGGAGGGTGAGTCTGCCCCGCTGCATGATCCGCCGCTGCCGCTCCCCAGAAAGGTGCCCCACTTTCCCCGCAGCTTCCCCGCCCACACGCGCTCCCCTGCAACTTTCTGTTTCCAAGCCACGAGCTCCACTAGCCACAGGCAGCAGCCGCCGCACAGCCCTCCCCGCGCGCGCTCTCACAGCGAGCCCAGCGGCAGCCAGCCCCGCAACCAGAAACGGGCTCCCCCCCCCCCCAGGAAACCGCCCCGCCAGAGCCAATCCGGAGAGAGAGCCGGCCCCCCGCAGCCAATAAGAGGAGGGAGCAGCCACTCCCCCCCTTCTAAGTCCTCCCTCCCCACCCCAGCTTGGCTGGCCCGCAGAAGACACAGTGCGCGCCTGCCAGCGCTGCCACGCCTTAAGTCACGAGAGACGAGCGGGTGGGGTGGGGTGCGGTGCAGCAGGACTCGCCCTGCAGCCGCGGAGAGACAGCTGCTGTCCCCGAGCTGCGGAAAACGGCTTGGCAAGGCAGCCGGGCGCATTAGGTTGGCTGCTGACGGGTGCAGGGAGGGCAAGAGAGCAGCGTTAGTAGCTAGTGGGAGGACAGATCTGTGCCAGACATTGGTGCAAGCTTTGACTCAGCGCAGTAGGTGCCAACATCTGTTATTTTCCCCTTGCAGTCTGGCAAAAGCTACAGCGGCAGATTCTTTTTTGGGCCTGCAAAGAAACTGACCTCCTCCTAGAATTGTAGGCAGTTGTAGCTGTAGCCATGTGGGTCCCAGGAGAGACAGAGATAATGTGAATGAGGCAATATAGTTTATTGGGCCAGTAAAAGAGACTATCTCACTAAATCTTGGAATTAGATGACTCTGTTAGATATATACGTGTCTTGCCTCCAGTAAGTTAAGTGGCAGGAGGTAGCCTGATTCAGGGTAAGCATGGTATGGGAAACTTCTTTCTCTTTGTCTGCATGCCTATTGAAAAGAGAGTAGATCTTTTGAATCTCTTTAAATTTCCCTGGAAATTGAAGAGAATTTGGGGTGCACAAGAGAATTTGGGGTGCAAGCTTGGATCTTTTATGACCAAATTAAGAGGACACAAATTTTTATTAAAATTCCTTTTGTGCAACATGTCACAGTAAGTGACATATTTGATTTTCACATGAATTCTTCAGCTGTGGGAAGACTGTTTACAAAATATAAGATTTTTTATTCAAACACAGCTAAACAAAACTTCATATTCCTTCATCAAAGTTACAATGTAGAGGTTTCCACAAAGAATAATGTCCTTTAATTCTGTCTGCTTCCCCAGATATGCAAATATATACCAAATAATCATATCAAGCTAAATAAGATATATCAAAATATAAAGATTCAAAGAGTGCCTTTCATTGGAAAGTATCTTCGCCTTTACTGAAGTACAGCAACGTTTGGGGGGAGCTTAATGATACACAGCAATACTGTACAATAGTTTGGGAGAGGGAGTGAATACCTTCTCCAGATGAAATTATATTCTGTCAACTTCAATTTTCTTTGTAATTCACCAAATTAAATTTTGACCAAGCCACAGACTCTTGCAATATTAATTCAAGTAGTCAGGATTTTAGTTTTAAGTCTTAGCAGAATAATGGAATCTCCCACAGCATACTGACCACTCCCAAAATGCTAGGATATAATTAAATGTTGATTCAGTGGAAAGAGTACCTTGTAATCATGAATCAAAACCATCCATGTCATAAACTGTCTGATTCCCCCCTTCTATCCTGCTTTTCTGTCCATTAGCCAAATACTAATCAGACCCAACCTTATTTCACTGGTGAAAGCAGAGAGAGGAGCTTATCTGCTAAATGAGTTTGGCTGCAGTTTATTAAACTGCTCTTGAAATAAGTTGAATACAGTACACAAAAATGATGCTCATATATGGTTTTATATAAAATGATTAAAACATATTAATCCTTCCTTAACAACAACAACAAGCCCAGAAAGGTGAGTTTTGGAGAAGAAATACTGTTAGTTATCAGTTCTTATCAAGGGAAAGACACCTAAATAGCAGAAGATGGCTCTTTCAACCATTAACACTTCTACTAAGTTAATTTAAAAGAATGTTTAAAAGCTTTCTTTTCTCTAGACATCAAGGCCTAAGAAATAGGAATGAATTAATTACAAATATGCACCGTCAGACAATGGTCCAAAATAATGCTATGGAGTGCTTAAGCAAAAATACTTACAGTGCATGCATACTAAATTGTTCATGATGTTTATCAAAGTAAATCTTTTGCCAGAACGGGATATTTGGACATTCAAACAAGGTGGTCAACTGACAAAATAATTGTTTAACAAGAACTTCAGTGCACTACACCCTCAGAAGTATTTATTACATATCCCCAATTAATCATGTTTTGTGGTAAGATAGCATTTTAAGCTTTCGACGATTTGTACTGTTGATTCAGGACAGATTTCTTGATTGTCTAATTGATGGGGGAAAACAAATCTATTTACTGTAGGAAAATTATAGGCGTTGTCATACTACATCAGATCCATAGTCCATGTAGTGCAGTATTCTATTTCCAAAAGACGACAATATCAGACAGTGCAATCTTCAGAAAAGGTGAAAGTAACCTCACATTAGGCAGATGTGGACTAATCAGCCTTCACACTTGGTCTTCTTATAATCTTGGATTGTACTAAGTTTAAACTATGAAGCATGAGGTTTCATATCTTTTACAAAATGTATATATATTAACGTTAATTACAACTGGATATTTGTGGTATGCATATAAATGTCTAATTCTTTTCTACATCTTACTAATTTACTGGCCATTATGATATTCAGTAACAATGTGTCACATTCATTATGCATTACACGGAAACATATTTTATTGGTTTTGAATTTTCCACTCTTTAGTTTCATTAAATGTTGTTTTATTCTTGTTTTAAAGACAGGTAAAATAGGCACCCCGATCTACCTTCTCTAGACCATTTTTTTTTTCATCCTATGGTTATCAAGTTATTTTTTTATCTCCTTTCTAAATATTAAAACAAAAAAACTTTTTCAAATATGTTTTCATTGTTGGCACCCTTGACTGAGCTCTTCTGCAATATCTTTTATGGTATAGTGAGTGAATGATAAATACTACACTTGCTATTGTAGGTGGGACCATGCAAATTAGAATTACCAGCTGTAACATGTCTGGAATCTTCCGAATAAAAAGAATAGAGGTGAAACATTGACTTTTCATGTAATTCAAACAGGCTTAGAATAAATGGCTAATACATGTATATTGTACCCTGTGGGGGCGTGAGAGGAGGGCCTGGCATTGCAGGAGCTAAGCAAGGCCTTTTTCCCCAATTTGCCCCACCCCTTTTTACCTGCAGCCAATGCCAGGCCTGGAGGGAGAATACAAGGAGGAAACCTGGCTTGGTTAGGGGCTGACCAGTGAAGAGGCAGGAGTTGGTTCTGCTGTCTGCAGGACCTGAGCCAGAGCTGTCTGCTGAGTCAGCCACAGGAGGATGCAAGCCTCCAATACCCCTCACTCCCGGGTGCAAAGGGGGAGAAGCAGAGGGAAAACCCAACTGAGGAGGTGGAAATTGGACTCTTGGGGCCATGCCCCAAACTGAAGGAGCAGACTTTGATAAGCGGCCAGAAGTCCTACACCCCGGGCCCCTAGCTAGCACCGGGACTTAACCACTAGGCCACCTCGCTGCCCATGAGACCTAGCCACTTACTCACAGACTGCAAGATAGAAGGTGAGCAGGAGTTGACGAGAGCTGTTCCAGAAAGGGAAGAAAGCAGCTGTTACTTTTAGCCATTTGATGCTGAGATGAAGGCTCATTCTCCCCAGTTTCCTCCCGTTTTTACCTCTTCTGAATGAAGTACATGTGTACAGCTCTTTTACTGTCTCCACTCTACTTAACCTTGTGCCTTCTAGTTTTTGCATACCTTGTGGATTTAAGTCTTCCCAAAATCAGTAAGGTTCTGTGGGTGCTCCTCAAAGTTGGATCCTTACACAGAGAGACAGTGGAAAGACAAATATTTATTTTTTTTCTATGCAGTTGGGATGTTACCCGTCTGTTCACTCATGCCGTCCCTAAGTGATGGGGGAGGGGGAGAGAGGGTCCAGCTTTCCCTGCCTCCAACAAGTGATACAGGCTCTAGGGCCAGGCACTGTCAAAAAATCATTATTTAACTCAATGAAAGGGAGAGACCATAAAGATTATTCTTCCTTCAGCCTGCATGCACTCTGTTCCTATTAATGTTAATAGGAACTGTATACTCACATGGTGAGACTACCAGTAGAGTTCTGTGCAGATACAAAATTTGTATCCCCATTCACATATGCAAAAATGAGCCATGGATATCTGCATTGGCATTGCAGGGGCTAGGTGCAAAATTTGAGTCTGCATCCACATCCAAGCCTGAAAAAATGAGCTGGGGATATCTGGAGCCACATGTTGCAGATGTGGTTGCCCATGGATAGAAAACAAATATCCGCATATTTGCAGGGCTCTAAGGATCAGACTCCTTTGATTAATTCAAGAATGGTGAGAACCGCCTTGCATTTGACCTAATGAGGTCTGTAAAATATTATCCAGAAACTGTTTTTCCTAAATTACTTGAATGTTCCATTAGTGACACATTTCCTCCAGCAGTGTCTAGCAATATGTAACTCTTGATGAATATTACTTTAAAGCACAAACTTTTGTGTGTGTGTGTGTGGTGTGTGTGCGTGTGCATGTGTGTGTGTGTGCGCACGCGCGCGCGCGCCAACCTCACCCATATTTAAGCAATATAACAATGTATAAATTTCATGAATTAGAGGTATCTACCTCAAGGTAAATAGTGAAAAAAAGAGGTTGGAGGCAAAGTATCTCTCACATCTGCAGAATAGACACACTGCTTTTGTACTTTATTCAACTATTAAAATTCATTGGAAAATAAATTAAAATACTGGACACACTAGAAGACCTATCACTATGAAAGCATGAATGCGAGATGAAACTTGAATTCTTTGTTTCAGCTCAAGCCCCAGATGAAACTACTTCTGGCACAGATTCAGGCTTCAAATGATATTTATTCCTCTGTGCAACCAGGCTGTAGGGACTCCCACATGTGAGTAGGTTACAAGTATGAAACTATCTATATGTTTTTTAAATGTCTGTCTGTCTATCTGGGAGTCTATTCAAGAACTTCTCCTAAAGATTAATAGCTAGAAAAGCAACATTTTATATGCAGCTTC